GACAGCAACAGCACGGCCTGCAGTGGGGATGCAGGTGAGAGTGGGGAACGTGAGCACTTCCCAGCGGCCACTTTCTCTCCGCTCGCATCCAACTTCCCCAGCAGCCCGGGGGGAGCACCGCACGCCCGTCTGATGCCCAACATCACAGCAGCATTGGGAAATGCGTGCAGGGAAACACCGCTGCACGCTCAGCACAGGGAGAGGGTGCTGCCCTTCCGTGACAGCCGCTCTCCTCGAGCTCACAAATCACACTGTGCTTTTTTCTTTTGCATCGGCCCCGCCGTACTTTTCTCGCCGTCATGTGCCTTTCGGTTCCGCTTTCCACCATCCAGACGTTTCCCCTTTTTCTTTCCTTTGGAATTTTTTTTATTTCTCCCCGTCGTGCTGTGAGGTTATGAAGGGCTCCGGGCAGTGCGTCCATCCCATGGTTCCTCTGGTTGGGAACGGGTGAGACATGTCCTCCATCCCCATAGGGTCACATCCCTCAAAACCCCTCCAAAACAAACAAGACCCCCCCCCAGAGACTCCAATAGCTCTGAATGAAGCCCTGTGCTTCCAGTTGTTACCTACCTTGGGGCGTTTTTGGAGATGGGATGTCCTCAGGTGCTCCGTAACCTTTGCATGAATGGATCCTTTTCTCTGCATAAGCACATTCTTAAAGGAACATCAGGCTTTCATTCTCCACTTCAACCATCGCGCTTCTCTGTTCACTTGTTTAAATCAAGCATAAAGCTCTGACTGTTCTTTGAATATTTATGACCAGTTTTTATCTCATGCCATGCATACAAAACATACTTGATTTCTTTCCTAAAAGTTTTTTTCAAGTGCAAAGTTTTAAAAACATGTGGCTTTTATTGCAGGCAGGAATGAATAACAGCATTCCACCAGTAACCACATTAAATGGAACAGTAATATTCATATGCGTAAGGGCAAAAGCTGTCTTGTTTCCTATTTGCAGTTGAACTCTGAAATTAATTAAGAACTAAAAGGATCTGACAGTCATTAGGATCTTTTAAAGAAGGAGTGGAAGTGGCAGATGGGACCCATGCTCACAAGGCTCTGCCATGCACTATCAATAGCACCGAGGATGAGCGCCCCGGACGCGCTCTTCATTGTTGCCATTGTGGGGAGAAGAGAATCGTGGTTCTGAACAATGTAGAACGGTGCTTTCATGACTTCAGAACCACAGGATTCATGTCAATGGCCCTCGTGCTCCTCTGTGCATCACAGCCCATCCTGTCAGGGTGTGCATGGGGGTGTGGGTGTTGATGCTGCACGCAGCGCCTGCAGGACGGTGCAAGGGGAGAAGTGCATCCTGGCTCTCATTGCATGCTCTGTGCCAACACCAGCAGCATTGCCGAGGCTGCACTCTGCAGCACAGTGCACAGCAATGACCACAACCCTCCCCGGGCAGCGTGGAGGGAATTTCACATTTAATTTCACATTGAATTTCACATTGAATTTCCCAAGTGATGGCATTTTGGCCCAAAACTCCCACCATTGCCTTCCTCCTCCTCCAGCTTCTCCGTGTGAGGATCCTGCCCGGTCCAAGGCTGCTGGTGCAGACAGCGAGGTGTGATGGGATTAATGGATGTCCCCACTCAGGTTTTGGTGACAGCTGTTGCTGCGGCAGCCGTTGCTGCAGGCATTGGGTACCCACTGCCCCCAGGGCACAGCGGCCACGTGGCAGAGCCTGGTGCAGCCCCCCGGAGCCATCAGCAGGACGGGGCACACAGCTGGTCCCAGCCCTCACAGTGAGTTCTGTCTGGGGCAGATGCTGCCTTTTCTCCCCAGTTTCCCCCTATTTCTTCCCCCGAGCACCACAGCTTCCCTCCTGCAGGATCCTCCAGTTGCAGCACCCGTAATTGCCTTGAGAGAAACCCGTTTTGTCGGTGACACTCAGGGGTTAAAACTGTCACCATCGCACACCCCATTGGATCAAGCATCTGCTGTTTGATTTATGAATGAATAGCACGCTCCCTCCCTGCATGCTGCTCTCAGATCCCCATCCCTTCCCTACAAAACAGATCCAGACACCCGCATGGCCCTACTGAGCACTGTGCTCCTGAGACAGAGTTTGCGATGAATTTTTAATAGAAAGCTTCCTATAAGGCCCTGCACCCGTCGAAGCGAGAGGCACTGCTGCTAAAAAGCAGCTCAAATGAATTACCAGCTACAGAGGAGGCTGTGAGGGAAGCAAATCCCAGTAAGTAGTGATTTAAAGAGCCGCTGGCCTCCCCACAATGTGAACGGGAGCATCAGTGCCATGAGGAAGTGTGGGACCACACAGTGAAGCACTGGGTTGTGGGGATGAGTCCACCTCCGTTGCTCTGAAGGGGACAAAGCCAATGGGGGAGGACAGAGGGTGGCTTTACAGTGGCTGCTGGGGAAGGGCAGGATGCAGCAGCTTGTGCACCTGGGAATACTCGCCCCCTGGGGACCAGCTCCTGGTAGTATTTGGGGATGGCATTTACTTATATGGCACCTTGAGGACACGGAGGTGATGAAACTGGTATAAAAAGGGATTGGAGAACTTTGCGGGCAGCAGGGCTGTGTGTGGGCACTGATCTCTGTCGCATCTGTGCAAGGAAGGAACAGCAGTTGGATGGAATGAGGGAAGCACCCAGGGTTGCGTCCTCTCTCTGAACAGCATCGCCACTCCTCACTGAAAGGTGCAGTGAGTTGGGCCCGATGAAATGCATTTGCATAAAGTTTAATGAAAGGCAAGAGCCTTCTAGGGAGGGCACGCTCACCCAGCCCTGTGCACAGCCGTGTGTCACCGCACCAGCAGCTGTGAAACCCCCGAGGATTTCCCAGGGGTGTACAGAAGGGCTGAGACCCACTGCGGGATGGGGCTGCCCCATAGGACATGGGCTGCCCTATGCGAGCTCCCTGCCTTATGTGAGCACGTCAGCCCCACATCGGGTGCTCAGGCCTTTCCTGGCCACCCATGGATGGATCATCTTCTCACTCGGTGGCCGCTGTGTAGAGGAAGGGAAGCGGGTGGGGAGCAGGCTGGGAGGAAGGGGCCGAGGTGACGCACTACGGGTTGTGCTCTGCAGGGATGTGGGCTTTTAGGCGGAGCCACTTTAAAGGCAGGTTCCCAGCAGGACAGGAAAAAAAGAGACAGGAAAGGAAGGAAATGTAAAGCCACTAAACCTGGAACCGAGCATCGTGCTGATCTCAGGGCTGTCCCAGCACTGTGCTTCGCTGCAGCGATGCTCCCTTTGCCCCACTGCACCGGCTCCGTCGGTCCCGTCTGCTCCCTTTGCCCGACCGCTCCGGTGAGGGAGAACCGGTGGGAAACCTCCGTGCCACCTCTCCGCCCGCAGCCCCGGGATGGGCCCGTTGGGGGTGTGTGGAGGGGAAAGGAGGACTGAGGGAAGCCCAGGACCACGGTTCCACCGCCTAAGAGCCGTAAGACGTGAACGGTAGCCAGCGAGAGCCGAACGGGGGGCTTTCCCTTGCCGGACCGCTACCCCCTCCGCCCGCCCCGTCGCGGAACCGCGGCGCCAACGAGCGGCGCTTCGGCCGCACTGCAGCGCTGCCCGCCCGCGGGGCACTGCGCAGGCGCCATGTGCCCCCCCTCACGCTCACACCCTCTCCGTGCCACCCCCGGGGAATCCCACGGGGACCGGGGGGAGCAGAACCTCGGCCAAGACCGGCCCTCCCGCAACGTGCCCCGAGCTCCTCGAAGGGAGGGAGAAGGGAGAGCGTTCCCCCCCCCCCCCCCCCCCCCCGCCTGTAAACAGGGGTAGAAAATAGCGCTGAGCGCAGCGGTGCGCGGGGAGCTTTCCCCTAAAAAGGGCAGGAGAGCTGCGGAACGGGTCTTAACGGGACGAGGGGACCTCCGCTCCTCCCGCACTGCTCCCTATTATTAACAGAACGTCTTAAAAAAAAAAAAAAAGGCAAACAAACAGAAAAAAGCAAACACGGGGTTATTTTTGTTTTCGTTCCCGTTCTCGGCTCGGCTCTGCAGGACGGGAGCGCGGCTCGGGCCCCTCCACGCGTTGCGGTTTGGGGAGAACAACGTTGTATTCGTTTACAGAGGAGCTCAGGGAAAGAAGTTTTAAAAGAAAAAAAAAAAAAAAGAACAGAAGGGAAGTTGCGTTCTGCACCGCTCCCGACGTGCCCACAGCCGCGGGCCGCCTCGCCGGACCCCCCCAGACAGGGGCAGACGCTCCGTGTCGCCCCCCGGGGCTCCCCCCACCCGCCCCCGGCGCGTTTCTCCTCCTGGTTCGGCGTTGCCACGAAGAGACCGACGGCTCCGTTTTGTTCCCGAATACGCGGTCGCTTCGCTAACGACTGCGGTGGGATCTGGCAGTGCGCACTCCCACAGAGCGCTGCGGACGCCCCGGGACCGCCGTACAGTGGAGACGGTGTCCAGAGGCGGAGAATAGCGGCTCTCCCCGCCCCGCGACGGCTGAGTTGCAGCGGGGGCACGGCCGGTGAGCGGCCCCTGAAACCCCGACGCGCGCTCCCTCAGCCCGTACGCACCGACGGGGCGGGACTTGGTAAGGCCGGGCCCACTTTAAGGGAGGCGACGCCCCTTTCGGCGCTGCCCACACCCCCCTGCCTCCCGGGAGCCGGGCGGGGGGGGCAAGGGGAAGGCCCCCCATTGGTGAGGCTTCCCGTCACTCACGGCCGGCCCGCCCCCCCACCGGGGCCGGCAGTAAATACGGTGCCGGGCTGCGCGGTGGCACTGGGAGTTGCTGTCGGGGCCGCCCGGCGGAGGGGAGCAGCCTACAGCCCGGCCGCGACGTGGCTGTGCCGGGGCTCCGCGTTGCCGTTCCCCGGACGGGGCGGGCGGGACAGCGGCGAGGCCGCCGCAGGCGCTCCCCGGGGCCGCGAACGAGCAGCCCCCCGCACCGCCCCGCCGAGAGTGGGGATCTACCGGGACGGGGCCCGGTTGCTCGCGGCGAGCCCCGCCGCTCTCCTCACAACCCCCGGCCGCGGCGGCGGCTCCTTGACGCCCTCCGTTGTGATGCGTATTCCCGTAGATCCGAGCACCAGCAGGCGCTTCACACCCCCCTCCACGGCGTTCCCCTGCGGTAAGATGGGAGAGAACAGCGGGGCGCTGGGGGCCGCCGCCGCGGGCGGTCGGGCGCGGCCCGAGGTGCGCTCCGTCGTGGACGTGCTGGCGGATCACGCCGGCGAATTGGTGCGCACCGACAGCCCCAACTTCTTGTGCTCTGTGCTGCCGTCTCACTGGAGGTGCAACAAGACGCTGCCCGTCGCCTTCAAGGTAAGGGGCGACCTTCTTGAAGGGGGCTCGGGGCTCAGGGTGCCGCTCCCCTCTCTCGCCGCTTTCCCTCCTTCTCGCTTTAACTCGCTCCTGACATCAGCTTGAGGGGAGCCGCTCTTATTATTTTTAATCAAGTCTCCGCGTTGCCCTCCGGTCACGGCATCTAAGATATTTCGTACAGTTAGGAGCTCTCAGGCAACTTTGAAGTGTAATGAGAACGGAGGTTAATTACCTTTCCGGGAGAGAGGGAGAGAGAGAGAGGCAGGAACGGGAGAGCCGAGCCGCGAGCGGAGGGCGAAGCGCCGCAGCGGCTGCATCGCGGTGCGTTGGGACGGATCGGCCCGGGCCGGGGCTGAGGAGCGGGGCTGGGGGCGGTTCCGAGGGACCCTGCGGGATGGGGGGTGGGCTGCAGTGCGGGGCTGCAGCGCTGGGCCCGGCCCTGGTCGCGTTCCTCTGCTGCGCCCCGAGTTCCGCAGCGCAGTTCTGTCGAATCGAACCCCCACAGACAGCGGCTCCTCGCTGCTGCAGGGCAGAGCCTCGGCACCCTGGAGCCCCTCGCTGCTTTCAAACCTCGATTCTAAGCTCGCTTGTCCCTTCCCCTTCGTTTTCTTTTCTTTTCTTTTTTTTTAATCTATCATCGGGAACTCGAATTGCTTTTGGTTTTGCTTTGTGTTTGGGGACGATCTCGAGGGGAGGGGAGCCGTGAAGCGGTTCGGCTCAGACCTCGGTCACCTCAGCCTGAATTCCCCTCGTCCTGCCCTCAGGTCGTGGCTCTCGGAGACGTCCCCGATGGGACGGTGGTGACGGTGATGGCGGGGAACGACGAGAACTACTCCGCGGAGCTCCGCAACGCCTCCGCCGTGATGAAAAACCAAGTGGCGAGATTTAACGACCTCCGATTTGTCGGGAGAAGCGGCAGAGGTAGGTGTCGGCCGTCCTGTTTGGGGTTTATTTTCTTCCAGGAGGGGAAAAAAAAAAAAAAGGAAGAAAGAAAGGGGG